ATCCACATAAATGATATTGCCTTGCCCTTCACTTCTGAAAGTAAAAACTTTGTTTTTGTGGATTGACTCCGATTTGGGATTTTCTAAACATATCAGTTATCTTTGTGAATCATCTTATAACATTCTCGGACAATTTTTTCTCTTCGCTTTGCGAAACTTTAATTTTTTTTTTCAATCATCATATTGCGATTGCATACTCGTATATAGAGCTGCACTTACTCAACACGACTCTCTTCGCCTCCAAAGAATTCAAAACTCTTGTTTGAGATTTTCCTTCGATATACGTAAATTTGATCACATCAGTAGTAGGTTTGATGACTCCGGATGGTTGAGGCTTGAAAAACTACGCACTATACATATCCTTACCAACATACATAAATTACTTCCAACAAAACAACCTGACTTGTTAGCTTTTTAGAGACTAGCAGATTTTATGCTCGAAATGGTGTGTCTTGGTCATTCTCAAACACAGCTCGGCACTTTTCACTCGTAGTTTTTCCTATATTTTCTCTGAACTGTATAATAAATTGCCCAGTAATCTCAGACTCTACACGATAATGACATTTAAAAAACGCTTAAATCCCAGTAATTGGTGCTGTGTATGTCGATAGCTAAGCTCTTTTTGTTACTCATTTTAATTAAGCTTGTATTATTGTGTTGGTAGATTTATCTTTCATTATAAACTTGTTTTCATATTATTGTTATTTTTAAGTGTATATTTTTGTGAGATTGATTTGAAAAGCAGCTTACGCTGATAATCCGCCTGTTCGTCTAATTTACTTTTATTACTTGTGTCCACATTTCTTTTTTTTTTAGATGAATAAAGTCCATTTTTTTACCGTAGTATGTGCTGGTCAGGCCCTATCCCCCGGAGCCCCGATCCATTCGGGAGGGCGCGCCAGCATTATCAACCAACGACTTCTTCCCACACCGTGGGGTAAGTGGTCATTGGGTCCGAAAAGCATGTGCTCTGAGCAAGCGCAGTGAGCCAAGAATGACAGCCTTCTGCAATCTGTCCGGCTTAGATTTCTGCCTTGATGTGGCAAGCCGGTATAATATTTTAAGATTCGAGAGTAGAGATGGATCCTTCCACCAAGAACTCTAATAATCAGAACAACCATATTCACAGTGTGGTTTGGATAGAGTCTGCCGAGTTGGAACAGAAAATTTCGATATTTTATCCGTATTTCCTCCTCTTTTCCGACGATATTCGTCTCGCCAGGAGCTGAAAACTCCACGATAAATATCGTTTTGCTCTGGTGGTCGAGAAGGGCCACATCAGGCTTATCAGCTTCTATGAGCCTGAGGGTGATGAACGAATGATTCTAATAAATTCGGCACTTCTTGTTCCCCACAATGTATTTAATATCTCCCAAAGCGTAGGGCAACACCGATGTCTCGTCAATACCGTAAGCGTACCGTAGATGGTTATGTCGATGGATATAGGCCGAGACCGCATATGCTAGACATGCCGATAGAAAGTGCATTAGGGTCTCGGGCGCCTCGCGACAGGCCCTGCACCTAGTGTCAGGAACCTTTATACCCATCACGCGACTGCGGTAGACTAAGGTGTTGAAGACACCATTCTGGCAAGCCAAGATGAACTCCGCAGTTTTCGACATCAGCCCACTCGACCTGAGGAAAGCGAAAGGCAGGAAAGCCAATGTCTTCAATGTTATTGAAGAAGACCCCATGCATTGGCTTATCCTTGTGTTTCCGCAGAAGTAAGATGATCTACGTCTTTTATATGAGCTTTTTGCTAAACGGGTTCCAACTCGGTGACAGAGATTGGTCACCTCATTCAGTGTCGAAAACTAAACCGAGTTCATCAGCTGCTCAGGCAGCTGCCCTAAAGAGAAATGCTCCAATTCCTGCTCTCTCATGATCACGGACCATGCAGAGAAGGGGATCCGAACTCCTGACGACTTTACAGGCTGTATCCAGTACCATTCTGTCATGTAGACACTTCAAACTCAAAAGTCCACGACCTCCCTGTTGTCGGGGGAAGTACAACCGTGGAACGGACGATTCGGGATGCAAACTCCTATAGAGATGCATCATTTTTCGGGTCCTTACGTCGAGTGGATACAGCTCCTNTTAGCCTCCATCTTGTGTACACGCCGTTCAATCTTCCGAACCGCAAGGCCGGGATTTCGTCCTTCCGATTCGGAAAGCGATTGGACGACGTTATACACGGCGGTGTTGATTTGCCAGATGTCAGCCTCTTCTGTTAGAACACTATGAACCTCCGCATCAAAACAAGCCAGTTCTTGTGGCTTCAGGGGCCTAATTCTGTGGAGCGCCCTGCGTGTTCTGATTGTCGTCTCCATTGGTGGTATGGTGCGAGTCTCCTCTCTAGCCGTTTCAACGGGTGGTAGAACTGCCACTTCTACCACTTCGTTAGCAGACTGGGGAGGAGCTATATAGCCCTGCCGCCAAAGATAGGATACGTAATCCCTAAGATTTTTGGCGGAAAAGGCGGCATACTCCGGATGTGTTTCACACCACAGAGCATGCAATCTCAGCAATTATTATTATTATCATTATTATTATTACAACCATGGAACGGACGATTTGGTGTGCAAACTCCTATAGGGATGCATCATTTCTCGGGTCTTTACGTCGAGTTGATACAGCCCCTCCCGAGTCCATTTCACTACTCCAAACGAGTAGAATAAGATTGGAACGGCAAGCATATTTGTTACAACAACTTTATTTTTCCCCGACAGTTCCGATGACCAGATCTGTCGGAGTTTGTGCTGATACTTGCCGCGGAGAGAGTTCTTCACTGCTGTTTCCTCTTGTGAGTGGCGTTGTTCCACCCAGAGGTAAGTAGGATGTAGGATGTTTCCATCTACGAGCTGCAGATCCTCTCTGTAGTCCCCGCATCGCCCTCTTCTGAGATGGACCATTGCACATTTTCTGACGTATCGGTATGTAATTAAATCGTGAACCTATGCTAGTGGTGTACTAGTTTCAGGTAGTTACCGACCGTCAATTACTTTTTCATCTGAAAAAATTATATGCCACATTTTTTGCCTTTCTCATGAGAGGTAGACGTATATCGTACTATCTCGCTATCCAATTCTGTATCGTCGGAAAATTTCCTTTCGTATCAACTTTGGTTATCAAGAATATAGGAAAACGTTGTGACCCACTGGAAATATTACAACACACCTAACTGCTAAGAAATATTCAGCACGTAAATACACTGAAACCAAAACCCCTTTTTATGAATCATTCGTTTGTGATTGATCCCATTCTGTACATCCTTAAACAACTTTCATCAAAGGATGCTCATTTGAATTCGGAGTATGGTTTGTTCTTCGAGTCTCTTCAAGATGACACGCTCGGCCACTTTGCTTATGGAAGGCAGTAAGATAATTGGCCTGTGATTATCTGGAAACAGGCGGTTCTTCTTGGGCTTCGGCATGTGAATAACCGTTGCCTCTTTGAACGCGTACGGGAAGTGCTGCAATCTGAGATAGCATTTATGATGGTGGTTATAGCTGCTTTGCGCGGTAGGAATTTTAGTGCCCGGTTTATTATATGGTCCGGGCCTGGTGCTTTCCGAGTGGATAGACGTCTTTCACTTCTTCGGGAGATGTCGGGGACAGGGGTTGCGCGTTATCCGTTCGTTGTCTTATCCTTCGTACCGGTCCTTCCACCTGTCTCTCTGTTTCGTCTACCTCGTCCGTGAACGGGATGACGTTCTCTCTGCACTGCCTTTCGAAGTTTTCCGCGAATTCTTCCGCCTGGTCAGTGTAGACGATTCCTTGCTCGGCGTGTATTGGCGGGCATGGCTGTCGAGGTCCCGTTCTGAGTATTTTTTCTTCTTCTTCGATTGACGACTTGTTTATTTTGTGGAAATTCATGTTCACTGAGGATACACTACAAAAACACACTTTTGTCTATTTTCCACTATATTTCTTTATTGAGTATTGAGTATATATGAGTATTTTTTGCATTCTCTATGCAGACTGGTTTTCCGTATTCAGTTCGGGTAGTCCATTTTCTATCTCGAATAGCTTCCAATTCTTCTTTCAGTATCCTGTTGGCACTTTGCATGCACCTTTTGTCTAAGGGTGCTCGTGTCCTTTGGTATCGTCTTTTCAGGCGTCTTCTTATTCTGATCAACTCCGCCGTTTCCGGTGGGAGCTGCTCTTGGAAGTTGAAGCGTAGGGCTAGGACTTCCCGTACGCTTCTTTTCATCGTTGGGATGATCGCCCGCTGCAGCTGGTGTGTGGCGTTCTCCAGATCCGTGTCGGGGCGCGCTCTAACGTTATATTATGTATGGATACGATATACTTGTGGCGCATCACGATACACTTTGAAACATTGGTTTGCTGACTTCAAACGTGGTCTTAGAGACACCGATGATGCAGAATGCAGTGATCGTCCAAATGAGGCAGTAACACCAGAAAACATTAAAACAAATCACAAAAGCGTTATGAATGATCGAAAAGTGAAGTTGCGAGTATCTTTAGAAGGGAAATACCATCATCAGTGAATATTATATAGCGTTAGTTGAGTGTTTGAAGACCGAAATTGCAGAGAAACGACCGCATATGGCGAAGAAAAAATTTTGTTTCATCAAGACAATGCACCGTGTCACAAGTCAATCAAAACAATGGCAAAACTACATAAATTGAAATTCTAATTGCTCCCCACCTTATTCGCCAGATTTGGCTCCCAGCGACTACTGGCTGTTTTCAGACCTCAAAAAATGTTCACCGGTAAGATATTTCGCTCGAATATAAAGAGGTTATTACTGAAACGGCCTATTTTGAGGCAAAAGATACATTGTTCTACAGAAGTGTATCGAAATATCAAAGCTGCGCTGGAATTATTGTGTGGCTCTTGAAGATTGAACAATTAAACACGTCTTCTTTTTTAGGCCTGGGCCTTTTCAGCCCATTCCATTCGGATAACAACTACTGATCGGTTGCTGTTCGATAGCATAAACTACATGGGGTCTTTGATATTGTGATCCTGAAATGTAACGGGTATAGTTTTTTTATTGTTATCAATGAACTTTGTTACAATGGAAGGCTATTTCAATATATCGTTTGCATTATTAGAATCTTATAGTGAGAAAACAAATGGATTGGTTCATACTATCACAGCATATAAGTATTGCAAGTCTGTTAAGTTCTTTCAAATGAATCTCATTTTTTCGTTAGCTCCCTAATAACATTTTTGTATCTCTCCACCATTGGATCGTAGATTTCAGCAGCATCTTTGTAGGGCACACAAGCCAATATCGGTTCTGGAACTGTTTTTGTAATTTCCGAATAGGTTTTGGAATTTTCATAGAGGAGGCCGTGTTTTGCTTGATACGCTGACCCGAACACGGCTGAATTGGCCGCTTCCTGTTGAAAAAAAAAATAAGAAATGCGTCAAATACATTTGCTTCTCAAAAAGTTATGAGTCAATTACATTTCATATTCACACCGAAACAATTAATCAATTGTTTTCTCATACTTTAAAAATGAACAAAAATCATGAAAGTTTTCTTTCTACTTCTGAAATGAAGATAAAATATGTGTTTCGGCATGAACTCGATCTCAATGCTTTCTCGTAGGTAACGTAGTTCATTGATTCACCAAAATGTTTTGATTTTATAAGTGTTGGAATAAATAATAAAAATAAGAATTCGTGTTTACATCTTCCAACTAAAAATTCTAATCTCTATTTCGAATGAACTAAAATCAATGAACATTAAATTCTTAAATTCATACAGTGTGACACACTTTTGATAAAGACACCCCTGTATTTCACTCATTTTTGAAAGCAGAGATTTGATTTTCGGTACAAGCGTAGACTTTTATGGGCCACACTCTTCGCAATGCCCCACGAAAATAGGAAAATCTCGATATTTTGCTTCACGTTATAGATATCCTACATATATATATAGGTATACCGAATTTTTAACTATAACTTCGAAATTTGATTTTTTTGTAATTTTCATATTCAAGTCCGATTTTCAAATAATGGTTCCGAATGAAAGAAGCACGAGAAATAATAAAATTCATTATTTGAAAATCGGACTTGTTTTAGAAGTCCGATATCATCATCATCGATATCATCAACGCGAAACAAAATATCGGGAATTGCCTTTATCGTAGGAACGTTGCAGGCTGGGTTTGAGGCTGTCGCACCTTTTTCTATCCCTTTTCATTCAAATATTTTCAAATATCTGTTTTGGTTTGACAAGTTTCACTTTTTAACGGCTAGTGAATGAACTGAGTCCCGTCGCGCTAGTTGTGTTTTTTCAAACACTCTACTGAATTAGTTCTCCAATTTTGTGGCTGTTATTGAAGTTTCAGTGCTGTATCAGTGATCATATCATCTTTCACTATGTCTTAAGTCAATTATTTTCACTAAGAAAATATTGCATTTGTCTACTGCATAGAAAGCATATCATAGGTATTTTAAATGAAAACTAGCAGTACATATGGTGAAACTGGGTAGACTAGGTGTGGCAGAACCGGGTGGTTGACCTATGATGGTTGCAAAAATGCAGATGAACTTTATAATAACTTTGTGAGTATAAAATCTGTTCAACTACAATTCATAATATTGTTTTCAAACAAAATTGCTATTTGGTCATTTTTCTATAATACGAGTAGTAACATCGGCACCAGGTATTACTCCACCTATGGGGGTGGTGAATAATAATTATTATAAAAGATATGAATTGAACATTTTTGAAATTGTCTACTTAGGATAGGATAACACAATATATTTTGATTCTTTTGACAGTAATTGACCATGCTCAAATGAAGAAAGTTCTCCCCCAGAAACTTTCATATGTTAGCTATCCAGTTTTGCCCCATTCTTTTCTTCTACTGTTTATTTTTTCACAAGAATGATGTACATTGATAGAAAATTAAAAAGTCCAGATTTTGAGATGTAAAATGAAATGAATTGTCAAAAATCAAATCTAATCGATATTGGAAATGAAGAAGCAGTTAGGAAATATAAGGTGGTATACAGTAAAAACTGTTATATATTATGAGTTTCATTTGATAGCCTTATTATCTTAGTCGTACTTTTTGGAGAATATACATGCTACTGGAAATCTTTAAAACATTATAAAAATTGGTGAATTTTTGTTTTCAATTCCAAGTAGATACACCCGTAGATGAATTTCATCGTGAGAATGAATTCACATTATATTTTTTTGAAAATGCTAAACGTCATCAAATGAACAGAAATTGTACCTACCTGCACATAGACAGGGGCATTGAAAACATCAGCCATTACTTGTAGAATGGCCTTATTTTGCGAAGCTCCGCCTGTTGCTAATATCTTAGTATTCTTATCTGCAAACAAAAAATATGGTTCAGTTTCTTACTTCTAAGATACTTTACCCTACTCACCAACTTGGAATCCGAAATCCTCAGCATACGCCCTATTACGCAAGCATTGACCCTCGATGCATGCCCTCACCTCAACCTCTAAACTTGTGAATTTACATACATTTCCCGCTTTATTGTATCTATAATCTCCCTGAAGGAATGGTATAATTTCTTGAATGTCGTAATACAATCCTAAATTTCCGAAATTTCCTCTTGGCGTGCTCTCTAACAATTGGTTGAAGATATCCCATGATCCATCAGCACAAGTGTTTCGTATTCTTTCTCTCGTCAGTGAACCATTTTTGAAACTAAATTAGGTAAATAATCATTAAACAGGTGTCTCAAAAGAAGTACTGTTCATTAAATTGAAAATATTCATGACGATGAATATTTTCAAAATTCAATTTTTTTTCACTTGACAAAATGAGTCCGGTAACTAGGTAAGTTTGGTTCACCCATTTATTTCTCCAAATATATGGTCAACTAGAATAAATGTTTTATCATAAACTACACCTTACGATTTAATCTTCGCAAACTTTAATTTCAAAAATATATCACTATGAAAAAGCGAAACATATATTTTTTAAAATAAAGTTTGTAGGTTAAAACATAAGGTGTAGTTTATGAAATTACTACGGATCTTCATCAAGTAAGTGTATTCAAAAATGATTCGAAAAATTGACAGAAAGTGATAACGTGGTCGATTCTATCTTATTGGGAATTGGTTCCGAAGAGAAAAAACTACTTTACTGAAGTTAAGGTGAAAAATATCAATACTTTTCTAATATCATTTCATTTTTTATATCAATAGTAAACAATATTTGAGAAACTCCGACTAATGAGAATTTACATGTCATGATCAACTGGAAAAAATTGCCATAGTAGAGTTTCGTTGATCTCAGTATAAATACGAATTTCTTACGGAGTCAAATTCAGCAGAAGAAATAATTCAAATGATTATTTGTAAACTTATTCAAACTTTCAAACCTTCAAATTTCACATTCGAAATGAGAAAAGTCCTAGATCCTAAATACTCTCGAAGGAGACCTCATGCTCATCCTTATACAAATATCGGAATGAAGTTATTTCTGCAATTTTGATATATGTCTATTGCTTCAACTCAGTGATAGAGTTGTGGTCATATCGTTCTCTGTAGAACTGTAGAAAAGTTGAACTATTGAAGAATGCACAAGCGACCTCAACAAAATACGAAAGAAAAAACAGTTAATGTTTGCAATCAATCAAGAAGAGCTCCCATTTAGTACTCGTATATCGAAAAGAGATAGCTGACCAAACGTGAGTTGTTGGCTATTCCTCTGATTTTCGAATCGTTTGACAGCTTACTTTGTTTACATGTGGTTTCAATATTACTGGAGTTTTATCCCAACACAAAACATGTATTTTAACACCTCGACACGTGTTTCGATCACCAAGCGACTATTTTCATATTCAGTTTAATATTTCTCTTGAAGATGATCACTTGGTGATCGAAACACGTGTCGATGTGTTAAAACAACGGTTGGGATAAAACTCCAATAATATTTATTGCTACACCAAAGGTTCCAAACAGTGCATCACAAATACATGTTGCTTATTGAAAAGTTTCTACGGTAACAATCTATACTAATATAATAATTGTGAAAGTTTGTGAGGATAGATGAATGTAGGTATGTTTGTGGCTCTTTCACGCCTAAATGACTGAACATATGCAGATGAAACTTTATATAAATACAGCTTATACATCAGAATAACATATAGGCTACAATTTACAAAGTTTTTGTGTAATTTTGATCACAATATAACGTACTAGGTTGAGTCGGAAAAATTGTTGCTCCCTCAGAAGTCGAAACTTGTGCGAGCTAAGGATTAACGAGGTCTTACCTTTTATCGTGTGATTCCTAACACGAAGTTACATGAAGATAATGTACCGTCAGATTGTTTTTGTTTATCTTGAATAGTTCTAAATTAAAGTCCTCGATAACATATATCTACCCCGTGGGTTGGGCTACCTATCGGGCGCGTCCCCAGGTGGCGGATAGGGGAACGGTCTGAAGGTCCTTTCCGGGAAGCCAATATGTGGCCTTACGGACGGGATCGTCGGACTTCTGGTCAGTGGCAGAAATAAGTAGGGTGAGGGGAACTAAAACTCCTCAAAAGCCTTTGCAAAACATGCCACCGTGGACCAGCCTACCCAAGCTAAGGTGTGAGATATCGTGCCAACAGCTGAACGGCCGCAGGGTGATATGCCGTTACGAACGATCCCCTTGGGGAACTGGTCGAAACCTCATTGTAATCAGCCTTCCTCTGGTAATGCAAGGCTCTGCCAGAGGTGACCAACTCTTCCCTTGTTACTCGTGGGAATACACATATATGAAACAAACAGACACAACAAAAAACAATCCCGCGGCTGGACAAAAGTGGTCACCTCAATCTATGGTGGTGGCTGGGGATGAACAGAAATGTTCACCCCAATCTACGGCTCGGAATGAGGCTGGACATAGTAGATCACCTCGTGATGTAATACAAAGGCGGCGCATTTGCGGCGCCGAGGCCAAAAGGAGAAAGAGAGAGAAAGAGGCAGGAGTATCAGCCACTATAAGTGCACCCTCCCCCTCACCCACTCCACCTCCAACAGCAAGGGCACTTCCTGCGGCAGGCGCCTTGAGTAAAGGCAAGGAACCGGCTGCCCCTGCAGGAAAGCGCCCTCACTGGAACACCTCCACTAGGGGAACCCCAGGAAGGTTGAAGAAGTTGCACAACGACAGTAATGTCGCTGCACCTTCCAAAACCTTCGACGAGGCCGCCGTGAGATACCTCAAGTTTGCCAAAGGGAGTGTGTGTTCGGCGAGTCTTGGCCTACACCTACCGATATAAAGGTGACCTGTCCACCTTCCTGGAAACGATAGGATGGACGAAGACCTAGTACGACAACTCCTCGGGAGGATGTACAATGGGTCACATTTTCACATAATAATTAAGTGCTGACGAATTTTGTCAGCACTCCTGTATTAAAAAGTTGCTCGGAACAATAGTCACAACGTTTCATTTTCATTAGTTTGTGTCTGTGGAGTTATATCGCATGCATAAATTAATGACGTCCGAACATTGCAATTTGAACAATAGCTTATAATTGTGAAAATACAGTATCGTTTTGATGAAAAATTTCCCATTTTAAGAAAGTGAGGATTCCTATACTTACCAAAGAAGAGCCATGTAAGAATTTTCATCCACTGGATTGCAGAGAACATGCCCGTCCACCACTACTTTTGGTTCTGTTAACCACAAAAACAATGTGTCGCTAGTTCCTAAACTGACAGCCACCCACCCCTCATTCAGCTTCATTCCTGTAGAATAAAAACAGATTTGGTAACCTTTAGCGTATATTTATCATGAATATTTTTGCTAAAACTATTTATCATCGACTGATTAGAACATTGAAAGGATACTAAGACTACTCCTTCTAGACAATGACAGTGATAATGATAACAATTGTAATGCGAAAGCCAAACAGAAGTAACAAGCTCTAATTTATTTTCCACACTTCGCATCAAAAACGATCGATATTGTTACATTCTAAAAACGAAATCATGCATCAATAACAGTTATCTGAACATGATCTGGAGAACGTTGAAATTCAAGCACACGTTTTCAAAGTAGAATGTCAAAAATATAATCCCTCATAAAATACACACTTTTTCAACTACTCAATAATCTATTTTTAATTATTTTTCAGGGGTATATTAGTAGGTGTAAATGATCTTCTTTTATCTAAAATACATACATTGCTGAGTTAACATAAATCACAATTCATTATGTCCTGATTGAAACTTAAAAAAAACCTTGTGTAGTCATCAAAATCTACACATACAGAGTTAGATTCTCTCGGCTGTTGAATAAATTTTGTTCGATAGAATCTAAGAAATAACGTTTTCTAATTGTGACATTACATCTTGAACAGAAACTCTTCTATGATTTTTTCAGGAGATGACATGAAGACTTAAGAGTTGAAGTTTGACTTTTCGAATTAGTGAGTCAGATTGAGTGGGATATGGGTCCAGGCTTGCATTAATCAGTTTTTAAAAGTTTTTATACCTATATATTTTTTTGCAGACTGTTGAAGACATGGTATTAGCCAGGGGAGTAGTTGTTTTCTGATAGGTGTCACTCCATTAACCTACTGTGTAGGGTGTCGAGACTGGCCTGAACGAATTGTTCTTTTAGATGATTCTATAACGAAGCTGCTAAGACCAAGCATTAAGGACACTTGCGAATGAAGCAGCCGGCACCGGTGCCAGAGAAGTAATCGATAAACTAAACAAGCAAGACTTCGATTAGGCCATACCCGACTCACATAGGAAAAAATGAAACATCACGTAACATTTGTGAAGAACTAAAAGTAAAAATATTACAGTGATGTATCCCATGCTCACAATTCACGAGATACATCCGTGATTGGTTAGGTTCAATACTCACTGAAATGGATGAGTTTCTGAATATAACACAAGAAATGCATCTGAACCTAAACTAATATTATATAGAAAAAATATTGTTTGTTTATTTGTGAAGCCGACTACAGATCAGGTGATGCTTTTGCCACAAACTTCAAACCTCTACAAATGTTTGGCTGAATTTGAGGTATCAACCATCGCCATCCACAAGTTGCATTGGCAAACAGAACGAATGCGAACTTGTCTCGGTCATAAAGTTCCGGGAAAATGCAAGGTTCTATCTGATAAGATTCCAGGAGGATTAAAATATCTTCATCGGACCACAACGCTCATATGTTCCCTGTCAGTGCACAAACATGCAGGAGCTTTCGGCAAATTCCGTTTCGACACTTGTTCGAATCGGCTACAAGCGTCTGCAGACCCTCAAAAAGTAAGTCAAACATCATATTCACACGTTTGGTTTTGTGACGGCAAGTTCAGGTTTGCCAAGCGCATGGATTCGGCTTACGGATAATTTCGAAAGCTACTATACTGATTTCAAAAATAGTGTCTCATATGAAAAGCTACATTATCAGCAAGTAAAATGGGCTGCATTTCATTACCAAAACACAAAGTATCAAAAATTTGCATACAAAAATCAATCAATTGGCGTGAGCAACGAAAAGCGTTGCTAGTATTACTTGAAATTAACTTACCAATCAATGACGCCGGATTGTCACCAGTATGTGCAATGACTCTACAATTTGGGTTGAAGTTATACCGTTCGACATAATAATTTGATATGGACCCTACATTAGAATATGACGGTACAGGTTCTCCTAGTTTTTCTGCAAGATTTGGTGCACAAGCGTTGAGTAAAGTTTCGTCCCATTTTTTTGTATGAATATCCATTAAATTCATTCCAGAACCATCTGAAAAATCAATTGGTGCTACTTTGCCCAAGAAAAGTGAACACAGGAAGCTACTGATTAGGGAAATTCTCTGAAAAATAAACAATGTCAAATTTACTATTGCAAAATGTGTGTGATAAAAAAATTAAGAATTATCTGTATTGAAGAGAAAAATATAGTTACATCATTATTACATTAGGGAAAGAAATTTGCATTTATTTGATTTTGTAAATCATTTGTGGAATGAAATAACTAGTTTATCGATAAAAAAATTTATACCATTCACGATAAAAAATTATTTGGTAGACATGAACTTATGAAATACGTCATGGGATTTTTTAATGGAAATGTACAAGTACATAATACAGAGCATTCTTTTTGAGGAAGCTACTGTATGTTAAGGCGGATTTAAACCAAACGGATATAAACCACAACAAAAAAACTGTGACGATTTCGACAAAACATAAACTTTAATTTTCTGATTAATTCGGCCGTTACTTGATGAAGATCCATAGTAATTTCATTAGCTAGACATTAGCTTTTTCAAGTGATTTTCAAATCACTTGAAAAAGTGATGCTAATGTCTTAGCGAAACATGTGATATATTTTTCAAATAAAGTTTGTGGAGATCAAATCGTTTAGATGTAGTTTTTGAAAAAACACAAACTTTAGTTGTCAAAATGAGAAACATTTTGAAGACTTGCTGTCGCGGGCGACTGTTTTTGTCAATCATGAAATATCCCGTCGCGTCGGCAGGCGAAAGGTTGCGGTGTTTTGTCTATGTTTTTGTAAACAAAATTCGCTATGTGGAAACGGTCTGAGATATTAACAAGCAAATATTCAGACACTATTTTGTTTTGGTGTGATGTGACATTAATACTTTATTTGAAGAGTCAATCTATGGTGGGTATAAATTTCGATGATCCCAGTTCACCTTTCATTCCTATGTCATCATTTTTCGTATCTGAAATAATTGTATCCGTTCAATAATCTATTCGTGTTCCTAACAATGATCTCATCCAGTATCTTGGTTTTTCTGGCTTTCGATTATAAAAAAAACGCAGGTCATTATAAAAACATCGTATAAATATGGCCTTCGAAGAGATGGACAGCTGGGTGTAATTAGGCAATCAAGCGGACTAAGTCGATCGATGACTTTCCGTGAAAATTTTCATTAAAAACAGACAAGTTCTCATCTTCCAGGCTTGTGATATTTGGGTGCGATGACTCTTCTGGATATAATCTAGCCCTGTAGTAAGTGATCCATATCCAAAAAAAAGGTTTGAATGCTTTGTAAAGAATCAGAAGTTCGAAATCATATTCCCACTTTCTGGAAAGTTGCCTTTGTTTTTCCAGACATTTAAAATTTTTTGAAGTTTTTTAAATCGTATATTCCCAACTCCCTTTTATACACCACTGAATTCGACAATTATTGTTTACATTCAAGATCTAGTGTTTACATTATCCCAAAAAACACATGTTTCAACAAGAATAAATGGAAATACAGTAGAATAAAAAATAATTTAGATCATTGGATGAGGCAAAGCAAGAAACAATATATAAAGGAAATAAATGATCGCGATTGTTATTAGTTAAAAAAATATTTTCATTGCCGATTAAAAACATTTTTTCAAAATTGTATTTATTAAACTTTCCATTTTTTTCAAAGAAGATATTATAAACCCTCAACTCCATTATGAAAAAGTGATTTTTTACCAAATTTTGTCTGAGTATCAACTCCTTCATGAAAAACTGATTTTAACAAAAATTTATTTCAACTCTCTCTAATCAAAATTATTCAATTGTCTGGTATAGTTTTGAATAATGCAATTTGGAATTAATATCAGCACGAAATGCTTGATATTGATTGGAACAGAATGAGTTAGTGTAATTTGAGAAAACACTTCATTGCTTTGTTGTGTAGTGTATAAAATTGAATTGACTGCTGTTCTCGACTCTATGATTAATACTTCAATTTTGAATATATTTATAACTATGAAGTCGACTAAGTGGAAATTATACATTTAGGAGCACTATTCATTTGTGTAAAAAACGAAAACAACAGATAAACAGAAACTATCCATTCAATTTTTAGTAGCTGCTTCTGTTATTTTTAGGAATATCAAAAAATAAAATTGAGCTTTCACATAAGATAACACATTTTCGTTGGTTGAGCATCATTAGATTTTTGTAATTTGACTCTTCATATTGAGGATATAAGGAATTTTCGAATACGAACCTGGACATTTCATTACGTTTGTCGTGACTAGTTTCTGTCAACTTCTTTGAAAATATTCCAATCAAGTAATTCATGAACATTTTTTTTTAGTTTCCACATAAATTATAACAAAAATAAAACTCATTCAGACAAAACTAATCATTTGTGAAAAGAATTTCTCAGAATTTGAGGTTACATAGATTTTTCTTTTCGCCTTCTTTATTAATGTTTACTGAAGTATGCTCACTGTGGAATAAAAATTCAATGAGTTTAAATATGAAGATCTAAGTGGCCAATCAACTGGATCTCCTGTTACAACCTGTTACTTTTTCATTTGTATTTTCTTATATCAGTTAATTGTTCATCACTATGTATAAGTTGTTTGATAAATATCATAGGTCGTTTGAGAATTAGACAGATGAAAAAATAATAACTGTCAAGCAAAGTCATTAAAGGCGAAATTGTTTGAATTCGTTTTTAATTTGAGTAAGTATTTTACACAACCATTCGAGAATGTAGTATCCAGATAATCTCGACTATTCTGGAATTATGTAGATTATATTAGTCTTATTGAAAATGAAGAATATCATATAGATACCATTTCGGAAGGTCATCCAAATGTTATTTATAATATATAATTACTCTGTATTTTTCACTAGTTGAATTACTTTCAGTGAAATAAGGTCCAAGTACTGCATTGCCCAAAATACCGCACCATAAGTTCAAGGAGAAACTGTATCCCACTTCCTATATAAGGTTGGGGTTTAGTGAATGCTTGTTTTTCCAATTGAGAACATCACAGTTTGTGAATGTGTTTGACAGTAAAATCCCTGTCATCACGTATTCACTGTTGAAACATGTTATAGAATAGCAATCTTCATTTTCGATCATTATGTTAGGTTTTCTGAAACAATGGATATTTATAGTCGTGGTAACCATGACACTTGTATATATTATAATCTATTGTTACTGTTCTTGTTTCTATCCCTGGTTTAATATAAATTTGAGCCATAACATCAATTTCATTATCAGGTACGTTTCTTTCAATTCAAGAAATCCCAGGATGGTTGAGTGAATTATATAAAAGCGAACTTGTAGATATTTGGTTGTCTTTTGTTGTCTCGATTCATCCTTAATTTATTATGCACTGCGAGCATTAAAATAATATTTAGTTTGATGCAGATTTCTTACATGAATTCGAACTCTAGGATGGCAAAATACACTCAAAATGGTGGATATTTTCAAATAACAAAGTCATATTTGAAAATTAAGAAAATTTATTCCACAATTGATTAGCAGTTCCGTTTAATTACGAATTCTATTTTTCTTAAGATTAACAGCGATAATAAATATTTTGTTTCGGTTCTCTGAATATCAACTTTTTATATTGATTGATGAAATACTTCTTTTCTCCCACCATTTAATTTTTTAGTTTTTGAAAATCAACTGTCGACCAAATGTAACCATTACAATGAGTACATTAGCCAAAAGTGTATTCACTGGACCACCAATGAATACAAAATGTCCAATTCCCAATCTGATGACGCCAAACCAAAGAAAATGAGTGTTCTAAAATAAAAACTACTACCGTTTTTTGATGTTCTCAAAAATAACAGAAATCTAGATAGATAATTACGTCTTTTGTTTCATCTCAATATCTCTAGAACCGAATTTGACTCTTTAGATTTGCTTCCTTCAATAGAAAATGTTTCGGAATAGGCATTTTTCATTCCATTCATTCGACCTTGTAGTAACAAGTACTGTACTTTGGAAGGTACCACCCGGTATCAATCTGAATTAGATCATTCTTGAATATTTTTGTTGTACATAATTTCTAACTTGCACTTCCTATTTGTCTATCCAAAACTGATCTTCTAGATCTAGATATTGAAAAACATTCAACATTTATTTGTTCATGCATTCATCTATTACCTAGTTACTACTACTAAACCAACCTCTGTTACTTTATAAGAATCCGGTTTCGTTTGATAAATTTTTGCTATCTGAGAACCTGTAAATCTTTCATATGCCCTGGAACCTGTGATTTCAGCAAGTTTCTGAAAAATGAAAAACAACATTTCAAAATCATTTGATGACCTTCTAATCAAGTAACCACAAAAAAATTGAAATTTATAAAAGATAAAATTTTCAACGTAAATAGATAATGTAATTCCAAGTCGTAAAATTCGATCAGAATGAGTCATTCAAAAAAATAAATGAAATCTGAATGATCATATTAATTGACTAATGTTGATCAAAATCATTTTATTTTTGTCAAGTATCCACTCACCGTTGGACCACCTACTGCATCTTCTAGCTGTTTACATTGCTTCGTAGTACTGGCATCCATCCAAATAGGACTATTGGCTAATGAGAAACAATGGGCTAATTGGGAATGAAGAAACTCACTAGGCTTCAAATTTCTCAAAGTTTCATTGGCCCCATTCTGCCAATAAACAGATCCATGTTGCTGGAAATCATATCAGTTTATATGTTAACTGAACCAAAAAACTGATTGCTTTCAATGTATACCATTATGACAGTCTACAATTTCATTTCGTAAAACAGTAATTCCTGAGTAACCTTTGAGTTCTCCAAATGATAAGTAATATCAACCCCCATTGTAACCCATCTTAATAATATATCAACCATACTTTTTCAATTGAATGTTAGAAGTTTGTAATTCCAGTTACCTAATCTCTAATCTGGTTAACGGAAAAACAGATTATAAACAGATTCAACAAGAAACATTATCAAACAATATTTTTTTAAGATGGTGGAAATCACATGAGCATCTAGCAGAAGTTTATCAAAGATATTCACAGACTGCTTGAGCAGTTTTCTCAATGAAACTTCCAATACTTCTTCACCAAAGAGTATTCAACGTGCTCCGGGTCAGAACCAGAAAAAGTTTCTCGACCCCAAGGACTGCTCGTAAAAATCCTTCGGGGATTTTAGGATTGCTCCAGCTGATGCAACTACTCTTCACAGAAAGCTCATGGTTGAGTTGTTAATAAATGTGTGCTAATAAATGGCAACCTTCTTTTACACGGTATCTTGAAGAAAGGATTTTTTTTCAAGGACAAAACACAAACACTACAGGAAATTCCTTAAGGCGCTTTTAGAGCGATGCCTGTGCAAAAGTAGTGATTCATATTGGATTTCAATTGCTGGAGCTTAAAACCATTTGAACCTCAAAACGCGTATTTCTGATATGTACCGCTCTTGGTGGAATCAAATGTTCCAAGTCACTTGAACACTTTCGGATATTCCAGGCTATTGAGGTTGCACGTGATGTTCGCGTCTCCAATCAGGCGGATGGCTTTTTTCTGGATGGAATCCAGCAGTTTCAGGGTGGAGCTCCATACATGAGAACAATACTCCAAAGAAGGTCTGATCTGAGCTTCATAGAGCATCAAAAATTGCTGAGGTCCGTACAGTTTTCTGGTGTGTACAGTGTTCCAAGTTTTTTAGTAGCAAAATGATTGTGTCAAGACATATTGCTGTCCATTTTAACCCCCAACAAACTTATCGAAGCAGAAAGCGGAATTGTCTGACCTAACATTATCATATCCGGTTCGGAGACATTTATCTTCTTGAAGAGAACCGATACCTCGGTTTTTGTGGTATTGAATAGAACCTGGTTACTTTCACCACAATTCGAAATCACTTCTAGATCCTCATTATGATATGCAACCTCCTGCTGCCGGTGAAGATGTGCCTCCGTAGCCGATGTCCTGGAATCTAAATGGAACGACGAGACAAGTGTGCTGTCGTCAGCAAAGCAATATATTGGATTCTTGGATTTTTTCAATACTACAAAACCGGTTTAATAAAGCAAAATCTTTTGCAAAGAGTATTAGCACCATAAGATCAGATCTGTCGAATATTGTAAACATCTATAGTAACCACTTTAATGTTTTACTGGCAACAATTGTCTGCAAGTTAATTTGTTTTTGATAGGAATAATTCAACTGGGATATAGACGAGACGTACCTTCTGCTTGTTTAAAAGACGAGAAGAGAAGTGGCGACTCAATTAGATGAAAAAAAGTCAAGGCAAAAAAAATAGTCTATTTTAGTGAAACTCATTACTGACATGGCTAGTTGAAATCTTATGCATACTACATAAACCTTTCAAAACATTTATGATGTGACATCTGGTTTCATTTAAAAAAAAAAAGGAAAAGTTACTGTGACACCTCCATTTTTATCTTTGCCACTATTACAAATCATGGATGACGTGGTTCCTTCAATGGTCAAAGAAAGAACAGAAATGAAGTATTCCATCATTATAATAAAAATTCAAGTAACACTTCATTGTGAGATTCAAGCATAGATTTCTGAAGCATTCTTAAGTTGACTGAAATTCACTTAATTTGTGCTTCATAAAATAACAATTTGGATCAAATGATCTTTTACCTCAGTAATGACTAATAATTTCATTCCATTTCATTTTATTATTATACCATATGTAGGAGAAAACTAATCAAAACTGTTCAAACATCATAAATGAATATTTTGCTAACTCATTATTTTGGATATCGTAAAAAAATTAAACCATCAAGTAAAACTTGATGGAAATACACAAAATGTGAGTTAAGTTAAAAAAAATGTGGCTGAAGTGACAATGATTTTTATCTTCAGTTGATTGATGACATTTATATTTGTTCTCTGTTTTTTAGTCATTTTTAGTAATACAACTTATTGATCATTTCTCATCGCGATACGCGATCTGGGTCGCCACCAAAAATTGTCCCAAACAAAAACCCAAAATTCATACCTTTAGGGATTTCAAGAATTTTAATTATAATCAGTTTTGTACAGATTTAGTAAGTGCACCTTTCCAGGACATTTATACAATAGATGATATTGATAACAAAGTTGAATTTTTCACGGGACTAATTCTAACTATTTTTAATAAACATGCACCTGTCAAGACAGCACGTATGACGAAAGCTCCAGCTCCCTGGCTGACATATCCCATCGAAATAATGATGAAAGAAAGAGACAAAGCTCTTGCAAAATTCAAAATTTCAAAATCAGAAGCTGACTGGGTACACTACAAAAATTTGCGAAACTTCACGCTATCATCTGTTCGTCGCGAGAAGAAGGCTTATTAT